TAGTGTTGAGCTAAACAGTGGAAACATGGATGATGAGATACATTTCGTTAATGGTGAACTTCGCCCAGAACCTACGAGATTTTCTGTGCCTTCCCTTTGCAGTGCTGAGGTAAACCGCCAAGAGAGTAATGATTGCAAACGTTGTAATGACATGGAACTCGTAAGAGAATACGGATGGCTTTGCGTGGGTTGTATTTCCTGTGCTGAGGTAGATTGTGAAAATACTGACACTAGCATGCTTTGCATAAGTGATAAACTTGACAAAGAATTCATAGGGCTTATCGTTGGTTCCACTCTCCTTGTTAAGCTGACATGAAGAGGCGGTGGTGACAGCTCTTCGTGCTTCGACGACGAAATTGTTTTAGCCAGAAGGCTTGGTGTGGCTTCTACTTGTAGTGGTGAGCTGGGCTGTGGAGACGGTGATAACAGTACTTGCCTTGACGACGTTACTAAATCGTCCACAAAGGCCTGAGTTTCCGTGATTTCTGTTGTAGACGTTGATATTAAACTCAGAGGCGGCGAAGTTTCGAGGAGGCGACGATCACCTTGAAATTCACTGGAAGATTTCAAAATACTAGACGTTGGGACATTAATATAGAGGGCTTGAGCTACAACAGAAGACTTTACAGAACTAGACAAAGACAGTGATGAGTTTATCTCACCGAAAATAGAAGTAAAAGGCAGTTTCAACGTCCTAGATGTAGACATTGATGACGGCATAATTGGCCTTGGCGTCAAACTTGTTAACGAATGCAAAGGCCTGGTAATTAACTCCTCTTCAACTATTGACGCTACTGACCGAGATGTTTCTGAAGGCAAAAAAAGACGACCACTCTCAGTGTCAATAGCAGGCTTCAAGATATTGGACTCAGACAACAATTGTTTGAAATCGGTGGCTAAATGTGTTATTGACAGATTTGAAGTTTGGGCTATCAGTGTAAATGATTGTGTGCGTTGACTCGATGATGCACGCGTCAAGTCCTCTCTTTTTAGAGGCGAGCTTATAAGTGGATACGATGATGTTGTGAAATAAACATAATCGTGTTTAGTGACGAACGAAGACAGTGATGAGGTTATCTGAGTGGCCTGGGTTCTCAGCAGTAACTTTGACGTCTTCGTAGTTGATCGTGATGATCGCACATGTGGTCTTGATGTTAATTTTTCAATAGAGTATACAGAGTTGGTAATAGTTTCTCCTTTTAATTCCAACCTTGGCAATTGAGACGTTGATGTCGTGAAATGAAGATATCCTCCTTCAGTGGCGCTAGAAGATTTAATGACACTGGAAGAAGGCAGCGATGCTTTTCTTTGAGCGACAAAAGGCGTGGATGGTAGTTTTGACCTTTGCAATATTGATACGGACGACGGCACTTTTAGCCTCGAGGGCG